CTGTTGGATCAATAATTTTAAAATAACCATCAAGGATACTTTAAGTGCATTGTATAGATTATTTTTACCTGTACAGAAAGTGTATACTAAAGCATGACCAACACACTAAACACTAAGTGATTGATTTTGAACAAAGCCCAAGTTTTAGTCCTTGACATGTTTTTACTGAAAAGATGGTGAGGTAAGGACATCCAGCTGAATGCTTGTCGAAGAGTCTGAGGGAGAGGAAGAAGAAATGAAAAGCAGGGTAAACACAACTTGTAGCTGGAGGGCCTGAAGAAGCAGAAGGGATGGGAGCGAGAAAGAGAATGATTTAAGAGTCCATCCAACAGCCTCAGCTGTGAGTGCAAACCCATATGCTGTAATGGCTAGATACTGTTTAATGACTTGCAGTGTGCCATTTCAAATCAGAAATATACGCGAAGGAAATCATGGCCATCAAAACACATACAGCCAAATCAGAGGTAAGTATGGCACTATAGTGTTTTTCTCTTCTTTTCCTGCATGAATTACATATTGCATTGCACCTCTTCAGCTCTGCTCTAGAATGAGAGCGAACACATCCTCATCAGGCCAATGTGAGGTTTGTTTAGTCTGCCACGCGTAATCACAGATGCAGTCAGGTTACCTGTCACGTTGTCTGCCCTTGCTTTAAGGCTCCAGGTTGAGACACCAGCCATCTCACCATGATAACCACGTGCCAGCTGCTCTTCTAAATAGGTTATCCAAGGCCATTTAATGCACAAGGTGGACATATTATGCTTCTCATTGGTTTCCTTCATTTGGCCAAATGAGCAACCAAGTCCCTGTCATGTCCACTCATCATCACTGCGGTGATGAAATGTGTTCCTCTGTAAATCTGAGTTCCTAAGTCTTCAAGGGCTGGAGGAGTCCAGTCAAGTAGAAAACTTGTTTTGAAGCAAAACAGAGATCCTGCATGAATGGCCTGAACCTTAAAATAAACTGGCAGTGTTCTGGATGAGCAATGAGAGCAGACCCTGGCTGTAATGCCTGAGCATGGACAGGAGAGTATTGAGACAAAATGACATGTAAACTTAGTTGACATCCGACAGCTTGTCATTTTGTCCATCAATGTCCAGTGAAAAACATTTGTCAACAGTCAATGACTTTGTTATAATTATCTGGTTACAAATAAAATAGCCATCAGCGCGTAAATGCTTGAAAACCTTTATGAACATGCTATTGATAACAGGTATTCAGTACCTTTATTCTATTTCTCATATCCAGTGCATCCCATGAAACCAAAGACATTATTACAGCTTAAAAGATAAAGCTTCTCCACATGGGGCATAAACAAATATTAGGGATTTAGCTATGAATCAATATATATCCTCTTTAAGTATCAAATGCCTTCCCCCAAAGGACAACCAAGCTCAGCCAGACTACTACTGTAATACTACTTTACCATAAGAAACCAAAGCCACTTTCACCAGACCGCTGAGTTAATGCAATATTCATAAATATGTAAGTGCTACCTCAATGTGCAGTTCATATCATATCAGCCAGAAAGGTTGTGTTTTTGGTCCTGTATGTTTGAGTGTATTTTAGCTAAATCCCTCAAAACCTACATTGGAGATTTCAGACTCTTCATGGAGAGTTTGGTAAATAGCCAAGACACAGATTACTTTTGGATGCAGATGTGCCTACTTATTAAGCAGGCAGGCTAAGGACATCGCCAAATGCTCTGCTATAGTAAATAACCAGGCTCTGAAGCTATGCTGCAGATGTACCAGCCCTAAATTGGCCTATTTATAATATAACCTATACACATAAAATACTGTATTTAAATCATTATAGTAACCTCTTGGCTTAGGAAGGTTATTGATTATAGTTAATTATAGGCAAGTTAGACAAGTTTGTTATTCGGCAAGTTAGACAGTAATGCTAAAATTAGAAGTCACCCTTTAAGCCTATAGTAGGTATCTGTACAAATTGTAAACCAATTTGCAGCATTTGCATTATTAAGATAATTGTGCTCTGGCAGGATTGCTGCAGTGTGTGAATAACAGCTTGAATATGCACTAGCATCACACCCTACCTGGCATAACATCCAAAACAGCCACAGGACCACTGTAAGAATTCACTAATGAAATAGAAAAGCTGTGCTCTTTAAAATGTTACCTCCGAAGACAGCGAGTACAGCAGAAAACGGATAAAGTTCAGGCTTATAGACGGTACTAAATAAGAAATTACCACAGCAAGGACATTTCTCTGGGTGAGTGGCTCACACTGAAAGGCTGTCGTTACAGTGAGGATATTCAGCCGAACAGAGCCGTTCCAAACAGACAGAAGAAAGATATTGTAAAATAAAATGAGATCAGTGGAGGGACAGAATGGATAAATTATAATAGTTTTTCAGTGTCATTGCTGCTTCTTAACAAAAAAGCCCATGCGACATTATCATTTTCTACTAAAAAGATATCTTGGGGAAGAACTAGTAAGAGATAAAGTCCTAACAGTCATTAAAGTCAAATTGTCTACACTGAATACAGGAACAGATTTTCAGATGGGAAACAAATAGTCCAATACTGAGCTAACTTATACATATGTTATCTTGTTACCTGAGGTAATATGAACACAAGTTCCCACCTGTACTCTTAAAATGCATATTGAAGACCATTATGTATGTTTTCTCTATGAATTAGCTTTTTAGTGTTTCGAAAAAAAGAAAATTCTTCAGGGAGTGCAGTGTGGGCCTCATGCCACTCAAACAGCTTGATGGATTAGCAAAGGGTACATTTAATTCTGACAAGAAAGCAGTTTGTATTTTGCTGAAACTCAATTGTTTAGTATTACTTTATTTATGAAGATAAATGTCAACAGCAGCATAACAGCATATCTTTCACTTTTTCCATAATAAGTTATGTTCCATGGTGTATACAAAGTGTTTTGTTTTTGTTTGCTAGGTTCAGTACTTGAGAAACTATAGAACTTGACACCCACTGTCACACCAGACTTGATTTATTTGGCGGAAAAGTTTGAAAATGAAATCCCTGAAGGATTGGACTGTAGTGAAGGGTACTTTATGTTTATGCAGCTGTGGAGACCCCCCATCTAATGCTCTTATTACATCCATGTCTGCTCTGTCCTTGTGATAAAAAGCATCTTCTGTTGCCTTAACAGTATACTGAAGTTAGCCCTTGTTCTCTGTCTCATTGTCCATAACACGTGAAAAAAATACATTCTTATACTTTATCATTTCTACCACTAGATTATATATTTGGGTGAGGGAAGAGTGCGAGTTAGGGTTGTTTAGGGTAGTTTCTGAACAGATATGAGGAGCTGTGAGCTTGAGTGCTAACAGCTAAAGGCTGATGTTGTTTTTCTGAAGATGACGTCACGGCTCCGCCTACACTGCGTTATTATAGATACTACCCCAGATGGGTGGAGCTTGTTGAAGGAAGCACTGAGAAATAGACTGATTCTAGGGTAGAGTATTCTTTAACTGAAGCAAGACCGTTATAATGTATGCACCGTAATAAAACAAATCATGGTCATTTTGACATGAATCAATAGTTAAATAGTAACAATCATTATTCAAATGTTTTGCTAAGGAATTGCAGCAATGCGGTGTCCCAGAGAGCCCACCACATTGTGATTTGGGCCTTTTATTTATTTACAGTTTGACATATAAGGCTCTTTAAACCAAGCACCATAAATATAAAACCAGCGTTTTTATATCAAATCTTTGGCCCCTATTACTTTAAGAGAACTTGTACAACATAACTATGACAAAAGTCTGACTACGAGACGAGTTATATATAAACTACGAAGACTTGATTAACAAAAGACTGCTTGATCGCAGACCTGTTTCTATAGATTATTAATGCAATATAGAGTATGGACCTTCTGCCTACACGATAACCTGAGAGGAGTACTTTGATTCGCTCCCAAACAACATTAACCATTTTAACTGAGGTTATAAAAAAGAAAACAAGATTTACCGTAATCTTCGGACTATAAGCCGCGCCTTTTTTCCCATTTTTCGAAGCTGCGGCTTATATAACGGTGCGGCTAATCTATGGATTTTTACAGCTAACGGCCACTAGGGGACCTCCTAAATCTATGGATTTTACAGGTTACAGTCCACCACCTTTAACTCTATGGGCTCTATGGCCGGTCCGCGGACCCACACCTTTAAGCGGCGGGCTCCAGCAGGAAAAGCTGGAGGCCAGAAAAGAGTGAGACAGGTAGTGCGCAAAAGTAAAAGTGGAACCGAGAGTGGTACGAGAGACAGAACGAGAGCAAGACAGAGAGACAGAACGAGAGCAAGACAGTTTGTCCCCGTACCACTGGTTGAAAACCACTGCTGTAGATCACTGCCGGTACGTGCGCTGGGAGCGCACCGTTTAAGTTTGAAAGTTGAAAAGTTTGTGTGTCTGAAACGCTATGTGATACAGTACAGTTTACACAGCACAGTACATGTTCTGTAGCTACTATTGCACTAAATGGTAACACTTGAATACGTTATGCAAATATGCAATTTGTTTGTTGAAATGTTAATAAATGGGAGCTTCCTCTAACGGCCATCTCTTTCCCGACAATCCCCTCTGTGCACGAACCCTTACATATGGTAATTAAACATTAAAACACCTGCGGCTTATAGTCCAGTGCGGCTTATATATGTACACATCATTCAATTTAGCTGCTGCGGCTTATATTCAGGTGCGCCTTATAGTCCGAAAATTACGGTAAATGTAAATAGGTGATGTTTCTCTTTAGAATCAGAAGACTCTTGGTATTATTCTTTTCAGGACATTTAGTATGGGAAGTGATTAGATGGATTGCAAATATAAACATTACTGTCTTTACATACATACATATACTTGGATCCAAGAAACTAAAGTATTTATAAGTTTTGGTTAAACAGAGAGGCTATGCAAAATCTAAAAGTGAAATGAGAGAGGCGCTGTGTTGAGGATACAAAGTGTGGAGTTGGGTGTGATGGAAAGGTGTAGGAAATGGAAAGGTATACTTACATTGCCCATGTACTCAGACAGAAGGTCCTGAAGAGCCTGGCGCACAGAATTGCATTCGGCCACGATACGCTCCCTGCGGTCATCACGTGTGCAGGAAGAGTCGGCCATGAGGGCAGCTCCACTGATAATGCTCTCAAGGCGCTCCTCCAGGGAGGGGCGGAAGCGCTCCTCACTGAACGCAAGGGGGTCCACAATGATTTGTTTCTGTAAGAAAAGAGTCAGAGGGGAAATTACACAGGGAGGAAAAAAAAGATAAAAGTCATCATAGGACATTGATCTTTCCTTCTACAAGCCACGAAGAGAGAACTCTGGGAGGCAGGAGAAGGGCTGATCTGACGGACTGACGGGGGGGCTGGGAAGCTGAAGAGAAGAATGTTTTAAGCGGTCTCATTTTTGTCTATGGGCCAAACGACCAGAACTTGCCTACGGTTTTAGTAGCTCTGCAATAATGTGCGTTTCTTGACTAACTATGGTATGACCAGGAAATGAAGGTGTGGTCACTTTTACCTTTAATTAAAAATAATTGCCTCACATTCAGCACATGTACTTTGTCAGCGGAATATCTGATTGGTTCGTGGAAAATCCTTAGTGGCCTCTCCAAATTAGACTCAGGACCGCCCCTTTTTAATCTGTGTCACACAGAGAAAAGGATAAGTGGTTATTCAAATACTTTAGTCGGTAAGGTGAGGGACCGTTTTAGTATATCCTCTTTAAGACTAGGCTTGCTCTTCTGCTCTGCTGATAATCAGTGTTTTGAATCATTAAAGATGAATACAGCTTCAAAAACGCACTTTCTCAGTGCGCTGACTAGAGAAAAACAAGTCATCAAATGTAACCAATCATCTGGAATAGTGCAACACAGCAAAGGAAAGTTCTTCTGAGGATCTGATGAATAAATCAGAAAAGAAAGCCCCATCATGTCAGGAATGTAGACTACAAGATCCATTTCAAACAACAGATGTGCCTATGAATATTAAATTATATAATCCCTTATGTGAAAGGATTTTTAAATTTCATAGCCTTTTCTACTATTTTTCACAGAATTGCCCTAGTAAACCACTGCCCTCTCTTTAATATCTGCAGCATGAGAGAGGACACTTCAATGTGTGATTTTACAGGGGCAAGCGTGCTGAGAGGCAACTAGTTGACATGCTGGAGAGGCACTGCAGAGGGTTAAGGTATCCACATGACACTTGGGGCGGTTAAAAAATGAAAGTAAAAACTCCACAATGCCAAACCAACTCTGGGCTTCAGCAGACACCTTGCTGCAACTAAATATTAAACAATTCATCTGTTAGAAGTGAGGTTTATTAGGCAGCCTTCCCTCTATCACAGCCACCTTCAGCCCCCTCTTTTCCATCTCATCTGACCTCCTCTGCTTGCGTTTCACATCACCATGGCAACAGGCACACGAGAGACACGGAGGAGGAAACACAGTAAGAGAGTGCGAGAGATAGAGAGAATTGGGGGGGTTGACTCATTTGCTAATTTTGCCTTGCACTTGAAATTGGGCAACAGAAGGGAGCTACTCTGGGAAAGGCATGGCTACCTGTAAAATAATCACTGAGGCAACAGTTTGAGACTGCATTGTTGACACTTGTTTTATAGATTAATCATTTGGCAGACCATCTGTCAGACGGCAATGCTTTTATAGTTTATAACAGTGTAACGTAAATTTCCAGGGCTGTAAATCGACTCAGCCCGAGTGGCCAGACATCAGTCTGATCCTGAAAACAAAATCTTGCAAATTGTTGTTTCAACACTGCAAACAGGAATATCTAGTGAGTGAGGCTTATTGCATTATCACGTACATCGAATTTCTGTACCTACAATCATCAGGTTACCATTCGTTAAAAATACTAATTTATTGAAAACAGAAGTGGCGTGTTTTTGTCTACTCATTACTGAGACTATTTTTGGAAAGGAATGTTCACTTGATCAAATACTCCATTTGCTTCCTAAAAAGCTTAAGTACATTTTTGATTAACTTTCGTTAAGAGCTACTGACTCTAATGGAGAGTCTAAAAGGTGGGCCTACAGGGTAAAGTATATCAACATTCAACTATATATTACCCATTCTACGCTGCCATTTTGGGAGGGTCGCTCCTGAAAAGAGACTTCCTGGCTAAATTAAAGATTAAATAAAAATAATATTCTCCAAAACCTTTAGTTTTTGCCTGTGTGCTCACTTCGGGAGCAGCTTGGCCTGGTGAGTAACAGTCACATAGATCCTATCACAGCACTCATGTTGTCAATGTCCACAGGGGGATTACACATGTTAAGTGCAAATTACATGTGTGTAACTGCGCATCCGGATAATTGCTTGAGATCCTATCATTAGGTAATCATCAAACACATCTATTTACTTCAACGGTTGTTTCTCCTTTTGTATATATAAAACAAATACCAACTTCCAACCCGTGCTGCACCAACAGAGTAATAAAGGCTAAGAGTAATTAAACATTGCATCATATGGCTAGGGGCACGGAAAACATTAGCATGCAGATTGCATCAGTCACGTGTGACATTTTTTTTTGCTGCAGGATAAACACATCAAGTTACACACAGCTCCTCGCTAAATGACTAAATTGCTGATCAACTAAAGATGAGTGATGTGTCTAGCGGTAAAGTGGCACAGTAGAAACCTTCTCTTCTATAGAGCTCATTGAGCAAGATGTATCTTCAATGTCTTTGGAATTTGTCAGAATATTAAACATCTTGTGTGAATAAAAAGGTGCGTTGCCGGTCTGATAGAAGTCAGAGGAAGAAGAAAACAAAATCAGGGTAATCATGTTTGCATTTATCACCCCAGGCAGCATTAAGACGATTAGCTTAACGTTGTTACCCAGCTGCTACCTTGATGTTGTTTCATGTCAATATTATGATACAAATAAATGTCATATTTCTCTTATATAAGTTAATAGTTAAATGTTCTTATAAATAGTAAGCTATCTTTAACCAAATTCAATCTCAACCATGTTACAATTTAATAACAATAATTTATTTAGTTAAAAACTAGTTCATCTGAGTCTAATGTAGATTTTAGGGCTGTATAAAGTTTGAGTAAACACTGGATGACAACTTACTTTCAGGGGTTTAAGGTTTTGAGCATGAAATTATGAAAAACTAGACAGCAACACGGAAAGTGTTTTTAGTCAATTAGGGTTGCTCCCTGTACTAAATGTCAACATTTCCTACACTGAGGTACTTATTGAGTTTGCCAAGCTATCCTCCAGATTATGCTTTAGAAGCTGGCAACCTAGCAACAGTTGAGCAGAGCTTAGCAGCTACCAGCGGAGAAGTGGTTAACTCTATTTATTTACAGGATATATTTATTCACAGGATATATTTATAAGACCATGTGATGCGTCCGTCTGAAAGCTAGAGCTGTGTAGACATCCTTCATTTGACTTAGAAGCAAATCAAGGAATGAATAGGTAGTGACTCAGGAACATATTCAATGTACCCCAAAGCCATGTCCCAATTTGTCCTCATATCTCGTCCTAATTTCCACCTCGACCCCGAGCCCTTGGAGGGTTTTTGGTCATTTTATGATTCAGTTGGGTCCATGAACTAATATTCTGACCTTAATATAACCTTTCTGAACAAGACCTCATCCACCTCATGTTAATAAATAGCTTATCATACGTTCGTAACTGAGCCATGCTGTTGTTAAGAGATTCAATCCTAAAATGAATGGTTTTATTAATCTGGCAGATACCTGCATGCCTGGTTGGACTCGTGAAATGGGTTGTGACTTTTAAGCCACTCATTTGACTTACATCAAAATTGTTGAGGGCATAGGCGAGCTCTCCACCCCCTGCTGGGTGATTGAGCGCTGAGTCCTCAGTGGCGGTGGCCTGAGCGGCGTTGGAGATGCTAGAGACGGCGCTCTGCAGCTGCTTGTAGATCAGGTCACGGTTTGCCTTGTAGGCTGCCACGTCAGGGTGCTGGAGGCAGGCACGGGACGCCGTGTACAGCATGGGGATGTTCCTCTGTAGCACGCCGCGAGCAGCAGCCATTTGGTCCTTGTGGTGGACGTCCTTGAGCTCCTAGCGGATTGAGATGAAAAGCAAAGTAGAAAAGGATGAAAAAAGTAATGGATTGAACTGGAGGATGGAATTCTTACAGGGACCTGGATGGTAATGTACTTTAGATTCAGAATGGGCCTGTCATGCCCTTATAGAGACACTAAGTGTGACAGAGTTTGTTCAGGATGACCCAGATTTATTTCTGTCCCCTGCGGCAAAACAACACCGTCATAATCAGGCCATTATAATATGCCTTTGCAAATTAATGCGTTGCTATTCAGACTTCAGCATTATATTACAAATACATCTTCATAGAAGAGAAGAGATAGTGATCGCTGGCATAGATTCATTTGATAAAAAAAAGCCGCTTGCATACACAAAACAAAATCCTTCCCTCTAAATGGAACTCTCCCTGAGCTTTCATCCAGCATTGCTTAAGACATAAGCTTAGGAAAAAAGCAGTCTTTAAGCCTCATTACTTCCTGCCTTCACTTTGGTTAAACATATCTTCCCATTCATAGAAAAAGTAAAAGCAATTTCCTCACAGGATAATCAGTGATCATTTTGGCAGGTTCTCCATTTAAGAAAGGGGTGTTTTGTATAACAATAATTGTCTGGTCTTGGAGGTTTTTTTTTAGGAATAGTATAGGAAATTATTTGCTATTTAAGTGCTATTAAAATCAATGAAACAACTTTATGACTTAATCTTTATTTGATTGACTTGAATAATTTCTATATTTGTTTTAAACATAAACAAAATAATGACTTGTTTTGAAGAACATCACACCAACTGAGGGGTCGCCGGCCGATTCAAATCATCGACCTTAAGGGTGCAGTCCTGATAAAAAAGCCTTCAGTACGCTTTCTCCATTGGTTAGGTATATGCATCTCAAGGATCTGCACCAAGAATCTTATGAAGTTGTTTCATCTTGAAAATGCATTATGAAACACTTTCCTGTTGACTACCACTTACACCATAGTGGAGAAAAACGATGCGCTGTTTCTCATCACAAGGTAATGGGTTTTGTCAGATTTAGAATGAAGCCTATATGCTCTTTTCTTGCTATCCCGGTCCACCTCATTGCAAGTGGTAATAAGAAGATTGTTCATGCTTACAGCATCTAATCATCCATCTTAAGCACTGCTTACTCCCTCCCACTGATGTACTTACCGTTTGAGGGTTGAAAGGCCTATTTTGTTATGAGTGACATAACCACTAATGCCCATTCAGTTACCAAGTAACCTTCCAGCCCCTGTTAATAATCATAAGGTTTATTTGAATCATTAATTCTACTAATGGTATATTACCTGCTGTCTCTTAGCGGCCATCATGTTCAGCTTGTCCACCTCTGGTTTCAAGGCCTTATATTGGATCCCAAGGTCCTGATCTGTTCCTGCATTTCGCACTTTCACAAGATTTTCCTCCACCTGAGCCAGGAAGGAAAAAGTTAGACAATACTTTGCAAAAAAAAATACAGTTCTTAAATAAAATTTACAAACATTTTGGATTCAAATTGAATAGAAATAAAATGCACCTATAATTAATTAAATGCTATTTCAGTGTTCAAAATAATCTCTTAGTTGGTGATTGTGTTCTTAATGATCGCTGATCAAATATGACTTAAAGGTAGGGTAGGTAAGAATAGAGAAACCAGCTCGAGTGCGCTAGAATTTGAAAGTACGCAGCCGAAAAAAAGATCTGCCTCTTCCTTCAGACTTCCTTACAGAGCCCCTCCTCCAACACACACGAACGCGCACATGACCAATGAGGGCACGAGATAAGTGGAAGGGTGACAGGCAGGTAGGCCATCCAGTTACTTTAGCCGAGCCGGCTCAGATGATTGGTCGTGTTTTTTTTTTTACAGCTTCCACAGATGACATTCTTTTATGTATATTTATTGTCAAAGCATTTAATATATTTATTGCTATCGGGATGTTAAGAGCATTCCATGGAATATAACAAAAAGTGTTTCTGAAGTTAATTACCTACCCCACCTTTAATTCAAATTTGTCTTTATATTATATTAAGCTTGTTGACATGAACATGATCCAAAAGAATGAAGCTATCTCACCAGTTTAAGCTGCAGTAGAAGCTTGTAGACATCAGACATATCAGCCAGCACTAGCAGATGCGTGACTGCTGACAGCAGGGCTCTAGCAGCACGAACCATATTGCCCCTCTTCACAGATGAGCAGGGGTCTTCTGCAAAGTCTCCAGAAGCCTGCCGCATTGAATCACCTGAGAATGAGTGACAAAACAAAATGTCTGCTGTAAATGCAAGGTTGAAAATGAAACTTCAGATGAAAACACATTCAAAGACTGACTTTTGAACTTGTCAAATTAAACACTGCACTATGAACTAGCCTTCAAAGCTTTAGTAGTCTTTAAATAGGAAACAGACTTTCAATCTTTTGCAATAAAAACAAAAAAATATATATCAGAGAAAAAGGATGTGATGTGTTGATATGACACAAAAACTAGATCGAAAGAAAGCACAATATCACATATAACTCTTTGTTTTTTACCAAATGCAATGAATCTTCCTTTGTTACCCATTAAATCAGAGCAAATTCTTCACGTATAAAATCCATTTATTTCTAGTAGTCGTACTCTACCGGAGCTGACAGCACAAGTCTGAGAGCAGTCACACTCCTTTCAGGCTACAGTTAATTGCTTTGAAGTCTTCATCCAAGACAAAGAGAAGTGTGGGGAAACAGGCAACAGTCTGACACGTTCCCCCTGCCTGCTTAGAGGTCAGCATGTGACACACAGAGCGACAAAGACACACACGGACACAAACACCTCTTCAATGTCCAGTTATAATTTCTGCTTGCACACACAGCCCCCTTAAATGAAAAAAAAGAGGTCACAGCCCCTACAAAGGGCTCACTGTCTGGTTTGTCCAGCACTATGCTTTGTCCTACATTGGATGGGCCTGCACAGTTGACTGGACACACAAATAGACTTTGTAAGCTCGCATTATGAACAAGACAATACATCCGTAAATAGTTTACTTCAGCTGAGAGATAGTCAAATTCAGATTCTAAAAAGCTTTTTCTGTATCAGGGATCAAAAGAAAATAAATAGTTTTTCTCTTGTTCACTTTCCTATGAAGGGAAAAGCTTTGTCTTGGCACCGATATACATCCTGATATGGTATATACTAGAGTATGTTTTCCGTTCATTCAAAAAATAAGTAGCATATATGAAATAACCGCATTTATTTGATAGGGCAGAAATAAATGTGTTTATTCCTAGACTATATGACATCAATAACGTTGTAGAGAACCATAACTATTAGGACCTTTTTACGTAACTTTGACAATAATTATATATTGGACTGGATTCTAATGAGGTCTTGATCTAATAGGCCTATCAAATGACTTGATCTAATTGGCCAATACAAATGCCTAAATGAATAGCAACCTGGTTTGAGCCATCTAAAGCCTGCATCACATTCTTTGGTCTTGTAACGCCAATAGGTCTTTGTGGGACTGGGGAATGGCAAGTTCCCACGCATGGGAACCAATCAGAAACCAACAATGGTGACATTACAGGAATATAACAAATGCCGTGGTGTGTCATTTTATAAAGCAAAAAGGCAGCACCGAAAAACGGTTTATGAATTAAATCTTATATACTGGCTATGTGAACGCTGAGTAAGAGCTGAGTGCTGTGGATGCTAAAGTGTCAGTGTACTCTATCACTCCGCGATAACGAGGAAGCTATATTTAGAAACAAGGCTAAGTGACTTCTTGGATTTGACCTCTATAATGTTTTCCGTGTTCTGGCCACATGCGGACATTTGATAAGTCCCCCAAAATGATGTGTGCTGTAAAAACAAAAGGCGACCACTGACAACTTGGATAGATTGTTTTCCAAATGTATCTGGAACTACAGCTCCTCTTATTTTCCTCCACCGCACCACTCTTCCGCCCTCGCGTCTGAACATCCATTGAGTCATGCAACTCAGAATAACTACATATTTTAACTTCAGTAGCAAAATGTCTAACTTGAGCAGAAGTAATTTGCAAAACAAATGTGCTTTGGTCTGTCCATGTTTTTATTCATGCACTGAATTGTATTAATGCCCCCTTTAACTAAGATCTAGGTAAAATCTTAACTGAGCTCCAGTAAATACTCAAAGGATATGTGTTGGTCAATTGGACTGTGTTTATATAACAGCAGTCCAAGTTAGTTTATATACATTTGCTCATAACCTTTGTAAGAACATCATGTTCTACCCAGACTATTCAACCTCCCTGCTTCCAATATGAAGCGTATCTAGGCTCTTTCCCCGCTTTCAGTCAATTATTTTGGATATCCAATAGCAGACATATTAATGCAATGTACAAAAAGATCTTACAGGTGAAGCATTATAACGCTGGTTTTAAGACTGTTTATTACTGGCAAAACTTTGCATAAAGATGGTTCTTGGTAATGAAGCCTTCAAATTATATTCAAAATGAATTGTCTGACACATGAAGTTTGTTTGGAAACAGTCTGAAATGCAACCTCACTGAGCGGTATAAGAGTAAGCTAATGCAGCAAGTTAGTGTATTGACTGTACCAGGAGAATTCAGTGTCTGAAAAAATACAAACTCTTGGGCTTCGTAAATGAAACATCAATAACAAGCCATCAGCAGTCTTTCCTCCCCCAGGTAGGTAAACTGACAACCTGTGATTAACCCTGATAAATGTTGCGCTAATACACACATCCCCCAACGTTAGCTTACGCCAGCAACATGCATGCCCACTAGCACTTTCAGTTCAATAAATGCGCACTTTGAAAATTACATACTGAAACTCTATACTCAACAAACAGTGGTTCAGAGGTGTGCAAGCATTGCTACAAAACAGAGATCTATTTAATTCTATCCCTTAAAAAGATTATTTTTTACCGAGTCAGCATAGACATTTCATAGCGTCATTCAGTTACATTGAAGCATGTCTATTCCTTGGAATGGACAAACAGCTGTGAAATTGGTGTGAAGAAGAAGTGTAGTTCAACATCAGCAGCTTTGGGTGCAATTTACTACCGATTTTTATTAATAAATCAGTAAAATATTCATATAATCTCTTTGTATGTTTAATGAAAAATAGTGTCAAATTTCCATAATATTCTTTTAGAAACCAAAATGTTGTTATTTTACATATATTTACTTTCCACCTGTTTACCAGTCCAAAACCCGAATATATTGTTATCATTCATGACAGAAAAGATATTGAATCCTAACATTTTTGCCATCAAAAAAGTTGTTCACATCACACAGATTCTGATCATTTTGTTCTGACAGAGAGCGAAAGCAGTTTGTGCAAATGATCGACAACACAAACCACAAACACAGTCTGCACCTTCAGGCTGTTATTCCCCCCCTGTGAACAAAATCAATAAGGCCATTTTCAGGGGGCAGATAGTGATCAGTGCTCCTTTAATAAACTTCCATCCATCTAACGCTAACCTGCAACCCACCAGGTGCTTGATGAAATGATTCAAATGTATATCACACATTAAGCACACAAAACAGAAGGACAACAAAAACACAGACAAGGAGGGAGGGAAGGGCAAGACCGATAGGACAAAGGCAGACAGAAAGGGATGCGTATAGAAATATAATCTGCAAAAAAGGGAGAAAATGTCTGCAGATTTTTTATGAGGTAAATAAATTGGATTTAAGATATTAACAGAATATGTTAACTGGGGAAAAACATCCACTACATTTCAAATTATTTCAGAAAAAAAGTTAACAAAACATTGATTAGGGTATTTGAAGGACGCTTTGAATACCCGTCAACATATTTGACATAAATGCATGTAGGTTTACACTTAACACTGAGGGCACCATTCAAATGTTGACTTTGAATTCAACTGTCCATGTCCACAAAACTTTAACTCAAACTACTGGGTACAGCACCTCATTGATAATGATCATGTCAGACTTTTTTTCTACCATTTTAAAAACAGCTGGCAAGCCACAGCTGGGTGGGAAATGCTTTCTGAATCAAGGGGTTGGTGGGGGGGGTGTTACTCCACTCAATAGCCGTATTATCAGTCCAAGCACGCTCCACCGAGCAGCATGGCATAGCGGACAGCCAGGCCTCGGCACCAGCTAACAACAGTGAGTGAATTCCAGCCCAGTGACAGCTTACCACAACTACAGTAACATTCCTGGGCACTGAGCACTGCACAGGCTATCAAGCAACATGTCATCTACCTCCCAACTACTCAGAGAGCAGCTCGAGCAGGGGATATCCAACTCGCTGGGCATCTGGGGAGAAAGACACAGTGACACAGATGTCGCTTCACAAGGTGATAACAGCCACCCTCAAGTCAGAGCTCCCCAGTCTCAACGGTCTGCTAGTGTGTCAAAAGACATTCAGATATCTGGAGCAGAGGGGAATAAATGAGACTATCAAGTGTGGTGGTTGAATGAAGGAATCTGCTATCGCAAGCCAAATGGTAATTTAATTGGGTAACCGGCTGGTAGTTCGAGGGTACATTCTGGTTTCGAGATGCACAAGTTGTTAATTTGTCAAACAATTATCTGGTACTACTCATCTGATCTCTCAACAGATAATCTTAAACAGACTGTAAGACATACCCGGATCACGAAAGCCTTCCCTCAATACTGTGCATAAATATGATTACTTTATTTCGTTATCGACAGTATAGCCATATTTAGCTGCGGAAAATAGGCTAAAACAAATGTATTTTTAGGCCGACTCAATATCCATTGTTGCCACTGTTGTGAATGGGATAACGGATAAATCAAGCTGACTGTATGCTCATGACAAATGTCTTTCAAATGTCAGACGCTGCTCAAACGCATGGGGTGAAGGCAGGTTCATATTATAATGGATGACTATAGTGGGATTATACTGCAGGGCTGAGTGATATAGGGTAGGGCTGGACAATATGGTTGAAATCATGATCACAATATTGTTAAGAAAAGGCTCCCATTACAGATTTAAAATCACCAGTATCTTTTTAAATGTCATACATCCTAAAATGAACACTTATTATGGGATTTTAGAACATATAACAACAAAAATGAATGTTTTGTGTATTTTTCAAATATACTGTTATGATAAACGATTATATTTAATAATATTGCGCAGCCCTAATTGTGAAATATCTTTATTTTCTGACCAACATCGCAATTTAAATGTTGCTCTATTTACAATATAGTACGGTTCTGAACCAGAGTTAGATAAAATAAATGCGCAATATTTTCTACAAGGGCAGTCATACCAAACTACTGGCTACATTTGATCATGGTAGAAGGCAAGGCACGGACAATGGTGTATAGCTTAATATAAATGTGAACCGTCGGCATGCTTAAATGAAAGCCTCTATTAATGGGCTCTCTGAATTCCCCATAGCAAAAGAGAAATCCATCACGCTCAAAGCATATCCTTACTTCAAGGTCGTCCACTGGGGAAGATGATATGTACATACTTTATGATTTATTTATCATCCCGCCTATCAAAAGAAGCACTCTGTACATGCTGGAAACCACACACTGTTGCAATATGCATTTTCAATATACCTTGCTTGCGGACATCTTCCACAGCGGCAGTCAGTTCATCCTTCAGGAACTGACTTTCCTTTGCAATCTTCTCTCCTTTCTCCAGGAAGTTCTCGGTGGCATTCTCCACAGATGCTGCCAAAACATGAGCCTTCTTAGAGCGTCCTTTCTTCTTGTTGGAGGGGCCTTTGTTGCTGGAGTTTACTAAAGTGGTGACCTATGGCAGGAATAGAAGTGGGATAATATATCACTTGCTATTGTTTTAAATCTGACCCCGTGTAATTATTCAAAATAAAAATACAAATTGTTTTTCATTACCTGGGTCACTAGGGGCTCCAGCAGCCTCTCCACTGCCAGAGTACGGATCTCCAAACTCTTTGGGTCCCATTTAAAGTTGATGTTAGCCGTGTTGATGTTTGTCATGGTGTCTGGAACTCTAGGAATAACAAATTGACAATTTAGAAAAAGGTTTGAAACCTATGAGTAGGGTGGAAGAGTACATTTTAATTCTCCAGATGCTAAGATAAAACACTTTTTAGACTCCATCATACATGAACATCTCTGCTTTGCAAAACACTGATGATTGTGGCTGTACTTTATACATTGAAGGCTAGGTGGCCAAGAGAACAATGTTTGCTTACTAACTAAAGCATTATTTAAGATGTTTAGACTAGTCTCCAAAAGGTCTGTAGACATAATCCACATATCAAGGTCGTTCTTTGAGCCAGCCATGCCCCACTCCTTGCAGAATGCCTGCCAGAGGTAGAGCACAGTAGCACTATGGCCTAATTTCAATTTCTCTTTTCAGGCAGCACTGCAATTCCATTGATTAGCTTTCTAACATGGAGGGCCAGGGATAATCGGCCAGCCCTGAGGGGCCTCAGCTGAAAGTTGGTCAGCAGCATTATGAGAAGAATGTCGTAGACAGCCACTAACCTACATTGTCACCAAAGAGGCCTACATATTAGAAGACTCAGGAGAACATGTGAATGATGACTACCAAATGCCTAAAAGTAGTAATATTGAACCGTGATATTTATGAATGGGTGTGCTTTCAATTTTGCCAAAAGATCTTGACTAAAGTTAACATTTGGATGGGGTATACTTGTGAGCTATGGCCCCTTTTAACTTTTAATCAAAAAAGACAGCCAGTATGGATGGATGCAAATTGTCTGGCACAGTTGTAACTCATTTTATCATGGAACAAATGTTAAAGCCCTTCACTACTACTCAGACATTTTATTTTACAATTACTTGTCAACTACTGCAGGGTTTTTTATCTAGTAAACTTCACCTCACACAAATCAACCAAAATAATGTCTGTGTCAGCATCTAACCATACAGATAGTGGATGTGATATTTGCTGAAGTATGGCCCATGTTCAATAAAACGGATTCTACCAAGGAAGTAGTTCAAAACTGGTTTACTAAAATGTAACTGGGACAACGCATGTGATAATCTCGTTCACTTCCTGTGTATGGGTGTGGCAGAGACTGTTATCTGAAAATCTGGTCAACAGAAACCAAAACGTTCTTTGAGGCTAGAGACAGCTGGGGGTATATGCATATGACCTGGGTGATATACATCTTTAATTTCTCAGCAAACTAATCTCAATTATTTCTCCTAAGAAACACAAGCAAAATGGCGTATTTATGAACATTGAAATGCCTTTTCGTAACAAGATACGCCCATACTACAATGATACTATACTTAACATAAAACTCATTACAAATGGAGAAGCAACAATATGGGTTTCAGGTTAACGAACGATAGCCAGGCGCTTATACTGAAGTTAAGTAGCTTAAGTTGCACCTGTTGTAGCTAACTATACCCAAGTTAACATTGGTTTTATCCAGTTAAGGTAACACGAGTCTAACTTTTTAAAAAGTGAACGTTGTGACTTGCAGAAATAAAGACTGGTGTTGAGTGAATGAACCGATTTTGACCAGGAATGGTCTAATTAATATGTCATGTTACGCCAATTTAGTTCACGGTACGGTATGGAAACATTACCTGCTAACGTACAAACACGGCACCTTGCTAATGCTAATGCTAACCGACACAACAAACACTAACGCTAACTCCATACGCCTATTCAAACACGGCTGAACACTTTAACTGTCGTGTTAATGCACTACCCAGGTGACTTTTATCATGTTATAAATAGGGTATTAAGTTAACGCTATAAACTTACCGAAAACAATCCAGAAGCAAAACTGGGAGTTTAAAAGTTCAAAATGGAGGAATGGGAATTACGGAGTTGCTTGCCTCAAAAGTTTTCCTCCCTTTTCCTCCTCTCTCTGACCGGTTAGTTGTGACTAACCGCACACTGGATTTACTCTCGAAAAACTATCCTTTTACTATAAGTAAAGACAAGAACAGATATTTAGCAGTTAGTTACCTGGAAAGTTTCGGTGAAGAATGTTTCGATGTCGCAGAATATTGCCCAACAATGGACGAGGCAGAGGGGGGACTGGGGCGGTGACCGAGTTCCTGAACTTCCTGGCAGCGGGGCAGGGCGACCGCAGGACACAGCAGGCCCGCAAACAAGGAGGTGTTCAGGGCGTGGCACTAGTTAACTGTATGTGTCCATATAAGGTTTAATTATGTCTTTCAGTGTACCACCGGGCCAAGCTGTGGGATAACAGTTTCGCCTTATTAACATTTAGTTCGTAGAAGAACTAGTTAAAATGCCTGAAAATGAGGGAGTTACGTAGCAATTTATTGGAATAGATTTCACAGTAAAACAAGATTTCAAAATTCGCTCCCAAAAGTGTGTTTACCCAATAGCTACCGGATGATATAATACAATATAATATAATAAATATTACAATCTTAAATGTAATAAAATTGATTGTTTTATTGTTTATCCTTATTTTCTGTAGCCCCAGATTTAGGGAGTATTAGGTTTTTAAGTTTATCGTTTACTTGTTAAATTATGTATAAAATGTACTTTTCCTATTTCATTTAATTGACATCTATTTTTTTCACAAAGATTGTTTATGTCTGTATGTTCACAATGTTCTATGAAGATAAAAAAATATATATAGTATTGCTTATTTGAAAATGTGATAACAAATGCTACTTAATAATCATGGACATGTTCATGTGTTCATGTTCAATGTAATACTGAAGTTGTATGTAAAATAAAACTATTAAAGATGTATTTATAAACTCTTTGAAATTCACATTGTGTCTAGTCATTTAATTTAATTGAGAAATGTTTGATCCAGAGCTCATTTTTGGTCATCTTCACAAGGCAACATAGAAAGTACCCTATTTCCATTTCATGGTTAGGGGTTGTAATACTTTCAGTTGGAGGGGAATTTAATTTCTCTTCAGTTCTTCTAATAATGTCTAGCTGTACCATGACACAACACAAATTAATATGTATTAATATCATCCCATTATTACAACCGGAATAATGGGATCATTCATAATATGCTTAAACCCACATGACACAGCATTTTTCCACCACAATAATAACGATTTAGGTTAAGGATGTCATTCTCAGGCAACATGGATCCACTTGGGGAAACTATTTTATTTTTTCCGTTACTTCTCTTTTTAAATGTTGTGACTTTTATATTCGAGGTGCATTTTATCCACTGTCAATTTCAAATAATCAGATGTGCTTTCAAAACTATTTATTAGGTAGTTTATATTTTATTAACTAATTTCATAATTCTTCGTAGGACAAATTCAGTTTGATCTGTTTCTTTCTTTTTAGTTTGTAAATAAACACCTTCTCCAATATAATATTTTGTTTTGCATTCATCTGATGACTTTTATCAACTAAGATAAAATGTGTTTTAAAGTCACTGGGTTCAAATGTGGTTTAACAAATTCAGTACACGACCACAGAGAAAGAAGGTGCTCAAAAGTCAGCTGCTGCATCATCGTGTGCAAACACCCGATGAGCAGGTTGAGGCTTCGGGTTCTCATATTTTATTAATATACTATATAATAAACATCCAAATTCCGCAGCACTGACATTTCAGATAATACTTTTATTCAGATTGTTAGAAATGGCTTGCAGATGCCACACATTTTACAATTTCAAGGTCAAGAAAAAAACATATAAGCTGACCAGTATATATATAGTCACACGTTTATGGTTTGCAGCTGTGACCAATAACATTGAGACATTTAATAAACATAATTCAGGAGCCAAGTATTTTGGTTTGGGTCTAATGAAGTGTGGAAGCCATAAATAGATTAAAGAGACCAGGTGCCACCCCTCCCTCCTCACTTTTCCTTCCACACACACACAGTCTCTCACACACACACACACACACACACACACACACACACACACACACACACACACACACACACACACACACACACACACACACACACAATGGATTTACTGTCTCTTTAAACAGTCATAGCATGCTATTTTACCGCATGAAGTAACTGGATTGCTTTTTAAATTGTCATTTTTTTTCAACCTGCATCCTTTTAGCACCTTTCCATTTGTGTGGGTGTTCAGCAACTTTTCTTTTTATTGTGCAGAGATAAGTCTATTTACAGACCAACACATGTTATCAAATATGACAAGGCAATGAAAGTAGAAATGTTATAATGCTAATTATATATGTGGAGAAATGGCAAAGAAAAAGAGCAGACAATTCAGAGTTGTGGCCACACAAAACATTATAAACAACAATGGTGTTTCTGCAGGCAAGTACAACTCACACACTTCTATTTGTTGGCTGGAGTAGGTGTTAATTAAGAAGGTGCACCAGTGCAGCATGAATTACAGTCCTGAAGAGAACAAGCTTACAAATGTACTCACAGACCTCTTAACAAAGGCCTCAGAATATAATTATCCTCTGGAAAGATACTCCTGAATATTTTCTTTGTGCAGTAATAATTCGCCAACTAATTGTTTTTCCCAACAGAGTCTTGACCATGCCAAAACTGAAGGGTCATGCATTAAATGGGCATATCAAATTCCCTGCAAACTGAGTAACATCAGTGAACTATCTTGTGTGCAATATTAATTTCACTCAGACACACAGAGGGACCCGCTCCTTCCACAGTGCAGAGATTTGTTTATCCAATTAATACCGTGTAGTGAAGAGGGATTATATTTGGTGCAATTGTGTGCTTGAATGATGAATGTTTGTCCAAGTAACAGCTTGCTGGGAGGACAAGTTTGGGTGCCCTTGAACTTCAATCTTTTTGTACCTGTTGGGCCGACAAATGATAGGAGCACAGCATGCTATAAATAATTCCTTCTCATTATGAGGAAGTGCACATGTTTGTCACACACTGAATGTATAATGAGCAAATCTGTTTGCTGTGTATGGCACTATGGTGCATCAAACAGTAGAAAATATGGCATATATAGGTTATCTTCATAATGTAATGTTCCAAAAGATAAAATATATATTTTTTATGTTATTAAAGGTTTTTTCTAATCTTTCTGCTAAGTTATACTATAGATTAGTTTTACATTTCTATTCAGGAAACACAATGTCCAATTGAATTGCAGTCCTGGCAGTGCTCCATGCTGATAAGAGAAACACTTTAGTAGAGCCACAGGTGAGCTTCTTTCATAATTGTGTTATCTATTGTTTGGCAGACATGGAAGTTACTGTACAGTTGTGCTTCCTGTCAGAGTTACTCATTCTTTGACGTTGACTAAACTGGAAGTTGCCTTACTTAAGGAGGATTCTGAGCCCTGACAAAACAAACACAACCACTTTCAGTCTGCCCCCATTCACCTGACTCATCCTGACAGCTGTCCATGAAGCTGCATGATGTCATCTGCTGACTCTCCCGTCTCAAAGAAGACCTTGTACCTCAATGATTGGAAATGTGTGTGGTGCAATGTAGGCGTCAATCTCCCACGGCAATACCCAAGGGGTGGAAAGGAAAGTCAACAGGCCAGCAGCACTGATGATTATCCTCAATAGCAGCCGTTCACTGTGACTTTCTTACAGAGGTGAAAAGAAACATACATTATTGCAGTGATTTCACAAAAAGTCCCATGGGAGGACACATCAGACATGTTTACAGTTAGACGTTGGAACAGTGATGTCGTGGTGTCAGAAGGAAGCGTTGCTTATCTGATTGGACCATGGAGAAGGTCGCAGCTCTCAACTGCTGCTAACCCATTGTCGGTAGTGAGAGCTCCTCCTGCCGGATTACGCCAAGGTATCCAACTGCTGCCCTCTGCTCTGGTGTTGGGCCTCTCCTCGGCTTTAGAAGGGCAGGAAGTATTTCAATCACATGCCATTGTGGGACCACTGAGTAACCTTGATAGAGAATAATTTCCTCTTAGATTTTGTTTTTACTCGGGAAACTCAGATCTATAAGTGGCCATCTCAAGTTTTTATGCTACGTTCCACACAAATGAGGATTGGCATTTTCCCAGTTGAAATGTTGCCAAACAAAAAACTATGGCTGACTGTGACAAAGTGATGTTTCTTTGGCAAGTGTACACACAATTGAACTCTAAGCAGTAGAGCCACCACATTATGTTGGGGGACATTTTTTTTCCATAATTACATTTGGAGCAGAGAAGATAACTTTCAAGGGATTGTTTATCATTACTAGTTACCAAATAAACATATCACTTTAATCGCAAAATGGTTTAAATATGTGATATGTATTAAACACATGAAAATACTAAGTTGATGTTTTACCATTTACAATGTGTGCTTCCATTGTTCATGAAGCCAGGGTAGACGGATTTACACCGAGTATACAACCGACTTTTAGTGACATTGACTTTTCTAGTGGGAGGTTGGAAATGTTTGAGTTGGCTGAAGTCCTACTTCGAGTCCAACTTTGTTGCAAAAATCAGCTCTTTCAGTTCAAATCTTTAAATCAAGACAAATTACCTTTATTGACTTCAATGCAGCTATCCAAAATTGTCAAGCCTCCAACCTTTTTAACATCCCTTTAACACTGATGTTCTTAATGTGGTTGTTTTATTATAAAGGATATTGCTCTGTGTTCTGTCCTTCATATTTAATGCAGCCTACCACATAACAAAGTCGGATCATTACACTATTAACATCCGTTAAACGTTTATGGTTGTATAGGGTTCTTTTATATTTTAAAGTTCATTATTTTATTGGCTTGTCATGAAATGTACTGCGACCATCCAGCATGGTGATTTAGTGCTCTGAATGAAATTGATTGACTGATTAAAGATGTGATGTAGACTTTTCTGTGTGATTTGTTTTTCTGCACTCCCTGCAATCTTTTGGTGATCATATCACCTCTGTTTCCGGATCTGTTTCATAGATGGGAAGACAATTGCATGTTCATAATAAGTTTTACATAATCAATGATCACTGACTGAAATGCAATTACCA